CGCTACATTTTGGTGCCAAAATTTTGAAAATCGGACAATATTTAGTGGCACTTTTTCAGTTCCCCGTCCTTTGACCTTGAATTTGACCTTGAAGGTCAAGGTTTAGGGGTGAGTAGGTTCGATTTTCGTGATCCTCATGGTCCAATTGACCTTGGACGAGGTTTTGGCTAAAATCGGTGCTCGTCGCTGGAAAAGTCGCTGGCGACGTCGCCAACTTCACGGACATCCTCTGAGGGCCCCATGCTGGCTGGCCTGTAAGGACCCACATTAGCCTCTGAGGGCCCCCGCACTGGATTCTGAAGGCCCGATGCCGGCCTCTAAGAGCCCGCATCGGCCTCTGGGGCCCATCTTGGCCTTTGAGGGCCCTCCGCCGCTGGTCTCTGGTGTCCAACGCCGGCCCATGCCGGCCTTTTAGGGCCCCACACTGACCTCTGAGGGCCCCATGCTGGCCTGCAAGGACCCACATTAGCCTCTGAGGGCCCCCGCACTGGATTCTGAAGACCCAATGCCGGCCGCTCAGGGCCCGCATCAGCGTCTGAGGGCCCATCTTGGCCTTTGAGGGCCCTCCGCTGGCCTCTGGGGCTCAACGCCGGCCCATGCCGGTCTTTTAGGGCCCCACACTGACCTCTGAGGGCCCCATGCTGGTCTGTAAGGACACACATTAGCCTTTGTGGGCCCCGCACTGTATTCTGAAGACCCGATGCCGGCATCTAAGGGCCCGCATCATCCTCTGAGGGCCCATCTTGGCTTTTGAGGGCCCTCTGCTGGCCTCTGGGGTCCAACACCGGCCAATGCCAGTCTTTTAGGGTCCCATTCTGACCTTTGAGGGCCCCATGCTGGCCTGTAAGGGCTCACATTAGCCTTTGAGGCCCCCTGGATTCATAAGACCCGATGCCGGCCTCTAAGGGTCAGCATCGGCTTATGAGGGCCCATCTTGGACTTTGAGGGCCTTCTGTTGGCCTCTGGGGTCCAACGCCGGCCCATGCCGGTCTTTTAGGGCCCCACACTGACCTCTGAGGGCCCGTGCTGGCCTGTAAGGACCCACCTTAGTCTCTGAGGGCCCGCACGGGCTTCTGAAGACCCGATGCCGGCCGCTCAGGGCCCGCATCGGCGTCTGAGGGCCCATCTTGGCCTTTGAGGACCCTCCGCTGGCCTCTGGGGTCCAACACCGGCCCATGCCGGTCTTTTAGGGTCCTATTCTGACCTTTGAGGGCCCCATGCTGGCCTGTAAGGGCTCACATTAGCCTCTGAGGGCCCCCACACTGGATTCTGAAGACCCGATGCCGGCCTCTAAGGGCCCGCATCGGTCTCTGAGGACCCATCTTGGCCTTTGACGGCCCTCTACTGGCCTCTGGGGTCCAACGCCGGCCCATGTCGGTCTTTTAGAGCCCCACGGTAACCTCTGAGGGCTCCATGCTGGCCTGTAAGGACCCACATTAGCCTTTGAGTGCCCAATTCGGTCTCTGATGGTCTCAAACTGCCCTTTGCAGGCCCTGTACTGGTCTCTGATGGCCCTAAACTGGCCCCTATGGGCCCAAACCAGCCTCTAAAGGTCCCACACCGGCCTTTGATGGCCCTATTATGTTCTCTGGGGGGGCTCAAGCCTTACCTTTGGGCGTCGCGCACTTGCCTCTGAAGGCCCACATCAGCCTCTGGGGCCCTACCTGAGGCCTTTGAGGCCCTTCGCTGACCCTTGGGTCCAACGCCGGCCTCTGGGGGGTCTGACAATGTACTCTAAGGGCCCCATTGCAGCCTCTAGGCGATAGGTATCGCCGAAGCGCTATCGATGGGCCCATAAGTGTAGGAACCATGGGTGCAGTGGGCGCAGTTGCACCAACAATAATTCTGCAGTGGGTGCAAACAATGTATTCTGCATCCACAGTAATCTGGAACAAAACCCCCTTTTCTCAGCAACACTGCTTTCCATGCAGCACGACAAATTTAGGATATTTGGCCCACTATCCATCTTCCGAAGTATTGGCTACTGTAATGGCCTTCAAAATTTACATTTGTGCTCAAGTAAAAACAAAAAAGATGAAACGGAACACATGTGATTGAACAGTGAACAGATACCGATGAACTGTCAAAAGTTTTAGCACGATGATCTTAGAAAATGGCAGTTAGCCGCGCCGCCTTTACTTTTGCGGTAGTCCAATCACAGTTGCATGAATTATTGACAATATCAATGTTTCAAAATGCACTTATCGGTACCTTTTCGACATGGTACACCCTCCAAAGCTCGCATTTCGCAATGAGCCTCCTCTCGGGTGCCGCTCACTACCCCCCCCCCCCCCGCTTCACCGGCCATGGCCTGGATTTCTGCACCCGTGCACTACGTCCGTGGGCCCCTTTAAGCTAGCACCGGGCCCCCCGGGTCAGCGCAGGGGCCCCTTTGACAAGTTGGCCCCCCCCAAACTCCAAGTCTGCGACCGCCCCTGGAGTGCCTACATGACCATTGCCTATTAAAGCCCTATATCGGCGGCTCTGAGGACCCAACCAACACCTGCGCATCTAAAGGCCACCCACTGGTGACTTTTGAGGGCCCCACACCGGTGACTCTGAGGGCCCCACCGGCGTCTGACAGTACCATGCTGGTCTCTAAGGACCCCACAGGACTTCTTCTGCCGGCCTAAGGACCCCTTGCTGGTCACTGATACCCCCTGCCGGCTTGTAGAGAGTTCGCGTCAGCAGCTCTAAAGGCCCCACACCCGTCTGTAACGGCTCCACACCAGCGTTTATGAGGGCCCACATCAACGCCTGTAAGGACCCTCATCGGCGCCTCTGAGAGAATCATATACTGCACCTCTGAGCGCCCACACCGGCACCTGCATGACAGCCCCACACCGGTGCCTCTAAAGGCCCCTTACCGGCGGCTCTGAGGGCCCTAGGCCGGTGATTCTGAGGGTGCTACCGAAAACCGAAGGCACCACACAAGCCCTTGGTGTCGCTGAGCTTTAATCCCATACCGGTCCTCCGAGGGCGCCACGTCAGTGCACTCATTGCCCCACGCCCCTCCCTCACACCCGGAACTAGGTTATAACTATAGCAACGATTTTACCACCGTTGTACGTTAGGTATGTATTTAATCTCAAAGTTGACTCAAAATGGTCCAGTATAAAATCTGGCCTGCCAAACTTATGGCCAAGGTCATGCCCAAATCAAAGCGGGATGACAACAGCAGATGTTGTTAAATCGATACTGTATCAGCAGAAACCATTCAGATGGCAAGGAACATGCCGTGTGTTGATGTTAAGATGTATACAGGAAACGAGAAGGAAAGAAGTCCGGAAAAGGGAGGAAATATCTTTTCTCGCTGCCTCAATGTTGAGGGGGCGCCGCCCCCTCGGTTCCCAAGTTGGGGGGGGAGGGGCAAGCGCCCCCGCTGCCCCCCTGTTCCCGGATCTATAAATTTCGAGGTCACATGAGAACCATAATAATTTTGAATGGCAACATCTAGGGGCAAGGTGCTCATGGATTTTGCAGATTGGCGTATCAGACAACAGTCGGGTCACCTCAAGCTTGCCCCCACTGGCAAAAATTCGTGGCGCCGCCACTGATGGGTGGGCCACAATCTGCTGTGCAAATTTGGGTCACGTGACCTCTGCTGACCTCTGTAGGTCAAGCGGCTTGGAGTGCCACCGAATAACTCGGACTGTGGATTGGGCTTGGATTGGGCATGTGAGGACCTACATTGTGCAATGTGTGCGAGTTTCAGCTTGGCCTGAGGTGTCCCGAATATGGGCTGAATTCGGGCTACGACGTTTGGAGTGTCGTTTATTTAGACATTTTGCCCTGCCGAGGTCAAACGGGGTCACATATCGAGAAGCGGTGTTTACGGAAAGTTACTACGGCCTATGGGCTACCCGATGATGTGCTTTGATTTGGAATTCGGCCAATCCCTCTACTCGAGAACTGCTGTGCAGGTGTATTTTCGACATAGCCCACAAATGACCTTAGGTCATCGCCTGACCTGGAGAGGTCAAATGGGTATTGGGAAAGTAAGGTTAGATGCTGGCGAGTCGATTGGTGCCATTTTTAGCGCTCTAGCTCTACTCGGTGGGCCACAATCTGCTGTGCAAATTTGGGTCACGTGACCTTTGCTGACCTCTGTAGGTCAAACGGCTGGGTGTGCCACCGAATGACTCGGACTGTGGATTGGGCATGTGAGGACCTACATTGTGTGCGAGTTTCAGCTTGATCGGAGGTGTCCCGAATCTGGGCTGAATCCGGGCTGCGATGTTCCATGGAGTGTCGTTTATTTGGACATTTTGCCCTGCCGAGGTCAAACGGGGTCACATATCGAGAAGTGACTTGATGGAAAAGTTACTACGGCATATGGGATACCCGATGATGTGCTTTGATTTGGAATGCGGTCAATCCCTCTACTCGAGAACTGCTGTGCAAGTGTATTTTCGACATAGCCCACAAATGACCTTAGGTCATCGCCTGAGCTGGTGAGGTCAAATGGGTATAGGGGAAGTAAGATTAGATGCTGGCGAGTCGATTGGTGCCATTTTTAGCGCTCTAGCTCTACTGGGTGGGCCACAATCTGCTGTGCAAGTTTGGGTCACGTGACCTTTGCTGACCTCTGTAGGTCAAACGGCTGGGAGTGCCACCGAATGACTCGGACTGTGGATTGGGAATGTGAGGACTTTCATTGTGTGCGAGATTCAGCTTGATCGGAGGTGTCCCGAATCTGGGCTGAATCCGGTCTGAATATGGGCTGTCTTGACGGACATTGTCTGCCTTCAGTCGAAAAGCTTCATATGCGTGCCGCACGGTGCGCAATCGTTACTATATTCTGGTCAGCCCACCAAGGCTGCACTGAATCTTGTCGAGTCACCGAGTCGGAAATCTAAATGCTGTTGTAGTGCTCACTTTGGATTCTCTACTCTACCAGCTCGTGGATATGTCGATAAAGATATAGTTTATTGACAAACTTTTTACACAACACAGTCCGAAACACGTCACATCAATATCTACAAATTTCAGTACCCCAATCAATCAAAGTCATCTTCCTCCATTTTAATTTTCCTGGGGTGATCTGTCTTCCGTTTTCGAACGGTCAGGTCCAGTCCCTCTGTGTCGGACCCGGAGGCCGACTCCTTCTCCAGCTCACGCTTCAGAATGGGGCAGTCTGCGGGCGGAGGCGCCGCGGCCGGCTGATCACGGCGCTGATAGCGCGCCAGCAGCTCCCGACAGAGGTCCTCCGGCACGGGGATGGGCAGCGGCACCGGTACGGGCACCGGCACGGCCACCGGCACCGGCAGCATCACCGTCACCGGCGGCAGGCCGAGCGGCAGCGGCGGAGGGGGCGGCGGCGCGGCGGCGGCCGGCGCGCCCGGCCGCAGCAAGTGGTAGCGCTGCCACAGCGCCGCCGGCGGGCCGGTCGCCGGCGGACAGGGGGCGCCCGCTGCCGCCGCTGGCACCGCCGCCGGCGGGCCGACCGCAGCAGCCGGCGCCATGCCGGCGGGGGGTGGCGGCGGTGGGGGCTGCCGGGAGGGCGCCGACGGCCTCCTGCGGGCCCGCTCGCGCAGCTCCAGCACGGGCATGGTGTGACTGCGGGCGCGCACTCCGCGCGGCGGCGGCCGCTGCGGGTCGGGCCGGGCGCGCCGCACTCGGCGCCGGTCGCTGGCCGCCGCCGCGGCGCTGCCCTCGTCGCCGGTCGGGGGCGCTGGCTCGGCGGCGGGCGCGGCGGCGCCACTGGGCGGCCGGTCGCGCAGCCACATCTCGGGAGTGATGAGCGGGTCCTTGGAGGAGCGCGACACCAGCTCCCGCAGCTGGGGCAGCATCTGGATGTGCGCCTCCGTCTCCTTGCAGAATATGTTCATCTTGTAGGCGTTTAGACAGCTCTCACTGAAAAGGGTAACGTGCTACTCAAAATCGAGTCGAAATGGATATGCTGAGCATGTGGGCTAGAAGACCAATCAGTTTCAAATAGCAAGAGAAGATGATCTCCATATGGCACATGGGTGGAACCTACATAACTGATGAATGCTTAGATGAATGCTTGAAAAGAAAATATTTTAAGAAGTTGTTGACAGGGCTGCGGAGTCGGAGTCGGAGTCGGAGTCGGAGTCGGTCGGAGTCGACAGTTGTGACCGGAGTCGGAGTCGGAGTCGATTTTAGAAACCCGAGCCGGAGTCGGAGTCGGAGTCACCGAAAATCTGTCGACTCCGCAGCCCTGCTAGGTCTGCGGAGTCGGAGTCGGGAGTTGGAGTCGGTCGGAGTCGACAATTCTGCCCGGAGTCGGAGTCGGAGTCGCCGAAAATCCATCGACTCTGCAGCCCTGGTTGTTGACTTCCTCGATAAAATGAAACAAACTAGCACGCCTACGACAAGGACAGCTCTACGGCCGTTGTACGTTGTGGGGTGGTTGGGAGGAAAAAAGTATCGAATGTGAAGCATCGGCATCATTGTGTTCTGGCTTATTACTTCAGCTGGCAGCACCCTCTTCCCACTGAGTTGATTTGATCAGTCATTGAGCGCGATCCCTCTCGGATATGCGCGACGCATGATGTAACATACACTTTATACAAACACGATGTCCGGTCCTTACCTGCAGAATTGGAGCTGCTGATCCCCGTTGATAAATTCGATGTTTAGTGAGTCTCGAATGTTCTTGCACCAATCGCAGAGCTTTGTCTTCCGGAAATTGGCCACTCTGGAACACAGTTTCAAAAACCGTTAATAGGGGACATCCACAACACTATACCAACAGGGCTTCGTTGGTGACGGTTTGACGATATTATGCATGCGAGTTGGGTGGGAGCCGCGCCTCATACACCGCCACCTGCCAGCTGCCCAGACAATAGACATCGATAATTAGACAGTCTTAGGCGAGTGACAGTGGCCGAGTTACATGTCAGGCAAGTTCAACGACAGGCCTGAATGAGCCACCGTGCTGCATTCTTCTCGGACAGCTGTACTTGCTGAACAAAGGTACTGCGCATTACTTACATGGCATTTGAACACAGTTATTCACGCTACAGACTACACCACGCCTGAGATCTAGAAACTTGACCTAATGAGCTCATGTATGTATCTTCCCCTGATAGAATAGCTTGCGGGATCAAATTTAAGATAGGTCGGATACGTGACACCACATGTGGCATTTGAAGCTCCTTAGGTCGCCCAGTAGCCACAAGATTCAGACGTGACCCCTGCTGACCTCGAGGTTGAGGCCGTGACCCCCACTGACCTTGACTGGCTGAAGCACGGCTCTGAACAGAAGGCCTTTGAGCCCATAGTGTAGAGCTGAGCACCGAGTTTATTGCACCAGGAGCACACCACTGGGGTCCGCTTACAGCCACCGTCTGCCGGCACGGAACGGGGCGACACGGGTCAGGTCACGGGATCGAGTACGCGGGGTCAATCACAGGACCGAAAACACGGCCGGTGCCATGTCAGTGCACCAAAACACACGGAATCATGTCACATAACATCAGAACATGCACGATCATTTAATCCGCTAGAACGACTCGCATGCCTAACCACGTCTCCGCACGCCCATCCTCGCCTTCGTGTCAGACCTATGGTGCCGGGGCGTGTCGGCCGCGGGGGTGCGCTCACTGATAGTGTAGCGGTGCGCCCTGCGGCCGCCCCCGCCGGGTCAGCCGGCGCCCCCGGCACTGTGACGCACGCGACGGCAGCCTCTGGTCGCCAGCGACACTGGAGACGGCCGCTCGGATCACAGGCGGATCGCCGACCGACCGGGCTGCCCGGCATAATCAGCCCCATCGACCAGGCCGGCGGCGCGGCGGCCGGGCCGGCTCCAAATGAGGGTAACGGGAGCCGGCGCCGCTACCTGGCCGGCTCCGGTGGCCGGCCCCCTCTCACGGCACCAAATGGGCGCGCGAAACGTGATAGGCCGAGCGGCGCCGGCGGCCCTAGCCGGCGTCCATCGGCGCAGCGGGCTCGTCGGAGGACAGAGTCGCACAGACAGGTAGGTAGGTACTGCCGTACTGACACCAGGCATTGGTAAAATCCTTTTTGAAAGGATTGCATTCCCAATCCACATTCCTAGTGCCGAAGTGGATTGCATTCCTACCCGCAATCCCCTTTTTTCACTTGGATTGTGATCAAATCCGCAATCCTTTTTTGCAATCCTGTTGTATTATTATGTGCACTAGTGGATCTGGGGGAGGGATCAGGGAGGGGGGCATAGGGCCGTGCCTCCATCCCCAAATCACCCATTTCTAGTACCTATACTTGCTAGTAATTCATATCTAAGGCACAGGTATTTTATGGGAAATATTTTTTGCCTCAAACACCCCCACATTTAAACCTCTACCCAACCAGTGTTTTATATTTTTAAAACTCGCCCTCAAATACGTAATTTTGCCCTTCCTTTGTAGTTCATCAGCGTATATTATTTTGAGCGTTTAAATTCGAAGCGTTTAAATTATTTCAACTTTCGATGTAGGTAAAGCCCTTGATAGCAAAGTACATTAAGCCGATGAAGCCGATCTCATAATTTTCAATCGCAACAAACCATTTCAAAACACTAATCAAACACAATCCGGATTGGATTGCAAAAATTGGAAGCATGATGCAATCCAATCCGCAATCAAATCCTGTTTTTTTTTTAATGGATTTCAAATCCAGGTGCAATCCACCAAAAAGGAATGCAATCAGGATTTTGCAATCCTGCAATCGCAATCCTACCGATGCCTGACTGACACACTGCACACTGCACACTGATGGTGTCGGTAGTGGTGCGTCATTTATGGCAATGGGTATCGCATAATCCAAGGAAATCCAATGACGTGCATCAAGTTGAATGGAGACTTCCTCCTACACGGCAGCGCCAACGTTTCACAAGCAGTCTCCCATTCCTCCCGCTAGATGGCGTCACTAGTCGGCGCCTGAAACTATGCTGTACCGCACGGCACCCGCGGTGAGCGCCTGAATGTATGCTGAACCGCAGAGCACCCACAAGCGGCGGAAAAGGCCCGTGAAAAAACTAACGTCCCGCCGCGCAGGCTGCCCCCAACCAAACCCAGACCAGCGACCAACGGGACAGATCCCTGGTTCGCAAATGAATCTCACGTCAGAAAAAAGCTAGGCACTTCGAGACAGCCAAGTATGTAAGTACTAACATACTACATTAGTATACCAATATTTCTAAGTTCGCTTGCCGTTTTTCACCGCCATGCTAGCAAAGCAAAGATGTATTCCATCCCTTGACCTTGACTCAAACGGTTTCATAATAACTTGACTTATAGTCCATAAACCACATACTGATGAGCGATGGGAATGCCCCGTCAGATGTCCATTGCCTTCTGAAAAAGATGCTGAATTGCCAGTGCGGATTGTTTTGACTGGGTGCGTTGCTGAAAAGACGAACATCACCTATTGCCTCCCGGGCAGCATGTGACATAGTGTCACAGACGAGCCGCCGTGTCACAAACTTGACATCCGTGTCACAATATAGCCCCTAAAGTAAATACCTACCCCGAATGTCGCGAATGTTTCGCTGTATAAAGAATGTGTCGCCGTATAACGAATGTGTCATTTCATTTCATTTCATTTCATTTATTCTTTTATCACCAACGGGCGTTACCCCAATGACAGATGAAGTCAACAAATAAAACAGTGTCACCGTATAACGAATGTGTAAAGGTCAAAAGAATGTGTCGCCGTAAAAAGAATGTGTCATCGTATAACGAATATTTTGCCGTATAACGGACATTACCCACTTATGTGTCACCGTTTGAGTGTTTCGCCGTGTAACGAGTATGTCGCTATATAACGAATGTGTAATCGTATAACGAATGCGTCGCGGTATGACTGATATTGCTTATGTGTTGTATAGCGAACGTGTCGCCGACAAGAATGTTTCGCTGTATAACGGATATCTTGCCGTATAAGGACTAAGGAGTGTGTCGCCGTACAAATTGTGCGCGTGAACAACGAGAGCGGTCTGTTCTGATCTCTAGCACACCTCTGTTTATAATCTAGCTGACACTAAAAGACACTGGGTACTGGGTAGGTATCCACTTTCCATTATTTTCAGCTGCACTAGATGGAAAACGTCATATTCTAACAACAAACACTTCACATCGGCCACAATACGAGAAGAACGCCAGCACAAAAGCCTGTAAGAAAACAGTGAACTCAACAAACAACATTGTAAACCAATCATGGACAAGGAGCTTGTCGTCATCGAATACTTTTCAAAGACTGTTGATTCATAATTCATATAGGAATCGTTATTCAGTGGCGGCGGAAGGTAATTTTGGATGGGGGTGCAAAGTTTTCTCAAGGGGCCCCTCTGGAAGTTGTGGGCCCCCTTCATTTTTTTTTTGTGATTACGGAGCGAGCGAAGCGAGCGTAGTCTTTCCTTAGATTAACGGAAATTTCTGAGTATGAGCGGCCGGCCGGCCGGCCGGCCGTGGTCACGCTTCTGCGAGGCTTATATCTCAGCAACCACTTGACCGATTTACATGCGGTAATTTTTGTAGGGTAGCTTCATTCCTTCACCAAGTATTGGACTATTCCCGATGCATGTAGGTGACCCCTTATGCACGTGCCACGTGCAAAACGAGGAGGTGTCACTTTTGTAATTGTTGCAATATCTCGGTAACTACTTGGCCGATTGCGCTGAAAGTTGGCATGCAGGTAGGCACCCACTAGGCACTGCATATCCATGTGCCGGAGTTGGGGTGCTGCTGCACGTGCGCACGTGCAGGGGTCGATTCCAGATCTCGAGAACGGCTCGACCGATTGCGCTCAAATTTGGTACACAGTTAGGGACCGGTTAGTAGGGTGCCGTGCACAAGTCAGTTGGGACCCATTTTGCACGTGCGCACGTGCAGGGTGCCGCTTCCAGATCTCGAGAACGGCTGGGCCGATCGTGCCCAAATTTGGCACATCGCTAGAGACCGGTTAGTAGGGTGCCGTGCACAAGTCAGTTGGAGGTACCCCCTCGCAAGTTCGCACGTGCAAGGCCCACCCTCTCGCTCGCTCCGTTAGTCGCCCCAAAAGGCGTTATACTGGTTATTATTGGTTTATGAAAAACGAAGATTTTGGAAAACTATCTCCCTACACACAAATTCTGTAAAAGGTTTGAAATTACAGTGCACCTACCTATCTCAAGTAATGAATGCATAAGGAAGCAAATGCAGCTAGTTTTTTATCGGCTAGCCTTTTAAGTCTAGCCACCACCCGCAGCGTCTCAAGCCACTTTTCTGGATCCGCAGTGGACCATTGAGGGCCCTACGAGACCGTTCCAAGGAGACCGTGTTTAGAAGCCCCTTGGAAACCGACCACGTAGAGACTTCTCCAGAGACTTACATGACTCCCCAGACTGAATGAGCAGTTGCTGAAAGGTTTCAGAAGGCAGTATAGGCTCGAAAGTCTTTTGAGGGCTCTCAAAAAACCGGCATCGGCCCCCAAAAATGCCTGTATGGAGGCCCTCTAAAGCCGGGATGGAGGCAACAGGAGCCGATGTTTATCCTAAAGAGCCGGTATGGAGGACTGAATAGAGAAAAGGGGTCTCAGTGGGGCCTTCAGGGACAAGCGTTTGAGCCCAAAAGTATGTGTGGGGTCTTAGAGGCTGGTAGACCCCTGGGGTATGCAAGGGGTCCCAGGAGCTCGCGTGTGAGTCCAAATATTCGGCTGGCGGCTACCAGAACCAGCATGGGGATTCTCAGAAGCCGCTTAGATCCACATTTCATGGGTCATGAGTCCCAAGAGTCGATGTAGGGGCCATAAAAGCCGGTGTAGGACCCATGGCCCAATAAGTTCCGACATTGAGACTCTCAGAGGCCGGCGACGGGGCACCAAGAGCAGATAAAGTGCCTCAACAAGCCGACATGGGCCTGAGAATCAGTGTGGAATTCCAGGAGCCTGCGTGAGCTCTCGGAGACCTTCGTATTTCGTAAGGTCCACAAAGGTCGTTGGGGCCTCTGAATCTGAACTCTGCGGGACCCTCAGAGGCCAGCATGTCTCCTGGCACCTGCCTGCGTTGAGTTGAGACCCTCCGACGCTGTCGTAGGGTTCTTCAGAGGCCAGCGTTGGCCCTTGAAGCCTTCTTTAGGCCCTAGAAGCCGTCAAGAGGGCCCTCAGAGGTCAGCATGGCCCCTTAGAGACCATCATGATCATCATCTTAGAGACCATCATGAGGGCCCAGAGAGGTTTGCGTCAGGGCCCTCAGCCCCTCACGGACCGTCGTCCTGGGGTCCTCAGAAGTTGTTGTGATGGCCCTTAGAAGCCTTCGGAAGGATCATCAGAGGTCGTCATGAGGGTCCTTGGCCATTGTGAGGGTCTTCATGGGCCCTCAGATACCTTTGCAGGGCTCTCAGAGGCCTTGGTAAGACCGCTAGAGGCCATCGTTAGGGCCCTCAATAGACCGTTGCAGGGCCCTCAGATGCCAGCATAGCCCCTGCAGCCTGGTTGTGTTGGGGCCCTCAGAGGCCGTCGCTGGGCCGTCTAAAGCCAAATGGGCCCTCAGACTTGAGTTGGGTCTAGGGCCGTCACGAGGGCCCTCAGAGGCCAGCGGGGCCCCTGGAGTCCTGTGGGACCCTCAGCGGTCGTCATGAAGGCCCTTAGTGGTCGTTATAGGACCCCAGGGGACATAGGTCGCCGTGAGAGCCCCAGAGATCATCGTAAGGGCCCTCAGAGGCCGTCATAGGGGCCCTCAGAGGCCAGCGTGGCCCCTGGAGTCTCCTTGGGGCCCTAGAGTATCTGTGGGACCCTCAGCGGTCGTCATGAGGGCCCTTAGTGGCCGTTGTAGGGCCCCAGGGGACAGAGGTCGTCGTGGAAGCCCTCAGAGATCGTCATAAAAGGGCCCTCTGAGGCCGTCGTGCGGGCCCTCAGATGCCGCATGGAGCACTAAACGCGGCTCGGGACACTTCTAGCCGGTGTGGGGGCCCTAAAGACTAGCATGGGGCGCTCCTGGCTATAATTGGACATCCCGGATGATTCCACATCAGTGTTCGTTTCCCGATCACTGGTTTTCGGGAGAAAATGTATTGGATGGTGCGACGGGCCCCTTGTACGGATTTTGGGGGTGCAAAAAGATATGTTTGCACCCCCATGTTTTTCGATGGGGGTGCAGCTGCACCCCCTGCACCCCCTATTCCGCCGCCACTGTCGTTATTATAAAAATAACGAAACTGAACCCAGGTGCATGCCTACAGTATGCATGGAGATTAGTGGTGATCATCGAAATGGTAAGCGTCTATAGTTATATTGAACATCAATGTCTCGTTTTGCTGCCATAGGAGAAAACATTCATGGCCGAGGCTGAATAAAACGAACTATACTATCGAATGGAATTAATTGAACTAACCGAAGTCCGGCGACACACGGGTCAAAGGGTAACATTGCGAGCCGCCTAACGACCGCCTCAAACCGGCCCCCAGCTGGAAACTGAGCTGGAAGGCGGAATGACGTATGCATCTCGTATTACTTTTAGTTTGCAATAAACCCTGATAACTGCTTCTGTGAAAACAACCATGAAGTAACAAACGTTGCGGTAGGTCTTGGTGGAAACGGTCTCATATGATTCGTTTGGGCATTAAAATGCCAACAGTCGGGAAGATGAAAAATGAAACACGAGAAAGGTTGCACGAAGGAAGGCTCACCGTATCTCAAATAACTTTTCCTTTGATGTATGTCTCGATAAAATCCGAGCAAACAATCATGAAGCGGCATGCGTCGTCGTAGGCCTCGATGTGAGCAGTCTCATATAACTGCTTTATTTATTGGAGATGATGAAATATTGCTCATGCCATTAAGGCGCACAACTTTCCTCTCCTGGTAACCTGACATCGGGAAGCATTAGGCATCGAAATTGACTTTTTTCAAGCAGCTTTTTCCAATTATATGCACGTCAAACAAGTTCCGATGTCCATTGTCGGGATTGTACTATACGTGCAGAGGCGGATACAGCTCAGAGTTTTTTGGGGGGGCAAACCATAACAATTTATCGATTCTTTCCATGCCTCGTCCATAGGCGTAATGTTAAAATTATGACGTTTGGGGGGGGCAAATGCCCATTTTGCCCCCCCCCCCCTGGATCCGCCACTGTATACGTGCGCTCATCAACTTGAACTTTTGGACGAGTTATAATCTGCAGAGTCGGAAAGATCAGAAAGGCGCCCATATCTAATTACAAAGTCATGTGTGAAAACTGAAATGGTTACAATTGGTCACAATGCTATCGCCGTGTTTCGATCATGTCGGTCCCAGTGGCGTCTGACGCCTGGTGCGCCCTGTGTGTCCCGTGCGCAGCAGACGGGCGTGTGGGTGTTGGTTACCCCGCGGGGCGGTGTCTCACCGTTGGCGAGCGCGGCCGTGACTGGGGAGACGGGCCGCGGGGACACGGAGCCATCCGTCAGCGGTGACGACGGCCGGCTGAGGCGGCCCGCCGCCGAGCCCTCGGCCGGCGGCGGCGAGTGGCGGCGCGGCGGCGGCGAGTCGCGCCGCTCGTACCCGTACCAGCTGAGCATCTCCTTCATCGCCGTCTCGGCAAACTCCTGCCGCAGAGGAGCGGGGCGGGTCAGAACGAGGCAGCGGGGGCGGGACGGGGGGCGGTTTAGAGCGGGAGCAGCAGCAGAGTGAAATGTGGTTAGAACATTTAGCAGCAGCGGAAGGGGTCTCTGTCAGAAAAAAGGAGTGGCGGAGTGGGACAAAATTAGGGCGGGGAGTAGCAGAACTGGCTCCCTCATCGGAGCGGGGGACAGAACGAAATAGGGTTTCGTTAGTCGGGGTAGTGGTTCCACGAGGGATGCGCACCAGAACACACAGGGGCGGATCCAAGGGGGGGGGGTCACATGGGTCATGGCCCCCCCCCCCCTTGAGGCCCGGGGGCCCAAAGACCTGCCAGGGGCACCACCGGCCTATCAGGGGTATCACAGTCCTGACAGGGGCACCACAGGACCGCCAGGGGCACCACAGGCCTAGCAGGGACACCACGGGCCTGGTGCCCCTGGGCCCTGACAGGACTGTAACGCCCCTGACAAGCCTGAAGTGTCCCCGGCAGGCACGTGGTGCCCCTGACAGGCCTGAGGCGCCCCTGGCAGGCCTGTGGTGCCCTTGCTAGGCCTCTGGTGCCCCTGACAGGCTTGTAATGCCCCTGGAAGGACTGTGGTGCCCCTGGCAGGCCTCTGGTGCCCCTGACAGGCTTGCGGTGCCCTTGGAAGGACTGTGGTGTCCCTGGGCCCTGACAAGCCTGAGGTGCCCCTAACAGGCCCGTGGTGCCCTTGTTAGGCCTGTGGTGCCCCTGGCAGGCCTCTGGTTCCCCTGGTAGGTCTGTGGTGCCCCTGGCAGGTCTGTGGCGCCCCTGGCAGACCTGTGTTGACTGGTGCCCCTGCTAGGTCGCTGGTGCCCCTCACAGACCTGTGGTGCCCCTGGGCCTTGACAAGCCTGAGATGCCTGGCTATGACAGGCTCGTGGTGCCCCTGATAGAACAGTGGTGCCCTTGCTAGGCCTGTAGTGCCCCTGGCAGGCCTCTGGTGCCCCTGCTACCCCTGCGCCTGGAGAGGACTATGGTGCCCCTGAAAAGCCTGAAGTGCCTCTCGACAGGCCCGTGGTGCCCCTGGGCCCTGACAGGCCCAAGTTACCCCTGCGAGGTCGGTGGTGCTCCTGACAGGCCTCTGGTGCCCCTGGCAGGTCTGTGGTGCCCCCCTGGCAGGCCTGTGTTGACTGGTGCCCCTGCTAGGCCGCTGGTGCCCCTCACAGGCCTGCGGTGCCCCTGGAAGGACTGTGGTGCCCCTGCCCCTAGGGGTGCTCATGGGCCCAACAGGCCCGTTGTGCCCCTGACAGGCCTGTCGTGTATACTTGCTAGACCTGTGGTGCCCCTGCTTCCTGGCAGGCCTGTGGTGCCCCTGCTTCCTGGCGGGCCTGTGGCGCCCCTACAAGGCCGTAGGTGCCCCTGACAGGTTTGTGGTGTCCCTGGAAGGACTTTGGTGCCCCTGACAAGCCTGAAGTGTCAAGGACAGGGTTGGCATTTTTGCCGGCAAAAACTAGTTTATGCCATTTGCCGGTTTAAACCGGTTTTAACCGGCAAAAAGTGGCAAAAACTGGCAAAAACTAAAAACCAGCACAATGATATGCCTAGACGTGGATTTAAAGATGAAACATTTTTAGGAGAATTCGGTGAAAGCTTTATGCTTTCAACCAGAAGTGACATTGACCGTTGAAGTGTTCTATAACTCAAAAACATTTTCATGGGCTTTCCATAAGGCGCCTTTTGGGGGTGACAAATGAGCCAGTGCAAGGGTGAGTCCTGCACAATCAGAAGTGCGAAGGGGTATCTGCCACTGATATGCGCGCTGCACCCTACCGTGGCAGCTTTGCCTCACTCCCCTACATGGAAATACATTCTGTGGTGGATGCCTACTGACATGCATAGACATTTTAAGCAGGGATAAGTAATGAGGCAAACTTCAGAATGTTTGGTGCATCTCTATAACATCAAGAAATGCATTTGTACATTTCAGATCCATTCCTAACTAGAAAAGTTGTGGTTTGGCCCACCTGAGTTTTATCCAATTTTTGCCAGTTTTTGCCACCGGGGTTTCTGCCAGCCGGTTTAAACCGGTTAAAACCACTGGCAAAAAACAGTTTTTGCCACCCCCTGCCAACCCTGGTCAAGGACAGACCCTTTAGACGCCAGGGTCAAGTTCGTCGGACTGACAACGATTCGCTTACCTGATAACGTTCCTGGTAAGTACTCACTACTCAGCGTCCACAACATATATACACATAACACATTCATATATACTTGCTTACAATTGGTAAATGTGGTTGTGGGTAAGAGTTAAGATACTGACTAAAAATTAAAAAAAAAAATAAAAAAAAAAACTGAAAATGGGGGCACCACCAAAATTAAGTGGACGAAATCCGTTGAGTTTTTAATTTTGGGTATAGGTAGGGGCACCACTTCGATTCATGACCCTCCCCTTGGAGTTTTCCTGGATCCGCCCCTGAGAACACACGACACACAGCACACAACACACCCAACCAAACAGGCGGGGGGGAGATGGAAATGAAATGTCTCAGCCCAGGGCTGCGGTCGTCCCGCGGCTGTGGCCGTGATGTTAGCGTCGGACACAACCACCGTGTGCCGGCACACCTTCCAGTCGGTAATTAATCATCCGCCGTAAACAGAGCAGCCCAGAGGTGCCGGCCGGACGGCTGGGTAAACACACCAGTCGACTGCCGGGCGGCACCGTACAGCCCGCGGCCATGAGGCCGACCGAGCCAAGGACCGGCAGCGCGCACTCCAGGCACGGCCCGGTTCAGAGAGAGGCGGCTCGGTGGAGGTGCCGGGGGGGGGGGGGGAGACTGGCCCCGTGCTTAGGCGGGGTGCAGCACACCGGAGGGCCCTGTCCAGATGTGAGTGCGACAATGGGAGACTGGATCCGTCTCTGACCATTTAACAAGAACAGATGCCATACCACACGGGGGTACGCTGAACGCCGACAAAGCTCCGCGGCTGACGTCAGGGCTCCATCACCACACCCTACCCTCGCCGGCGGCGGAGCTCGGCAGCCGGCAGTCCGCCAGCAGTCCGCCGTGCCGACTCAGTCCGCAATACATTACCGAGGATCGACCCGCGCTTCGAGCGGCTTGCGTTTCGCGAGATTCGCGGTATGCGTTACAAAACAACGTAACCGTATCGGCCGTCTATTTATACGGGGCCCAAGTTAAACAGCTGGCGGTGTCGAGTTGCGCCATTCGGGCGACACCGGAGCCGCGGAGGCGGTCCCGGCTCGCGTTACAGACAGTCCATTGGGAGCGCGCTGCCGCCGGCGCCGTGCGCGCATCTCGCCGAGCTGCGGTTCCGGCGGCGACCGCCAGGCGGCGGGCCGGTCGGGCCGTCACTGGAGAGGGCGGGGTCCGGTTCGTCGGGCCGGCTCAGGTCAGTGTTGCCAGGTCTAGAGGTAAACCTCCAGATCTAGAGGTTTTAGGGGAGCGTTTCGGGGCTCCTGGAGGTTTTTGAAAAATGCCGGATTCTAGAGGGTTTTCTAGAGGTAATCTGAAAATTCGAGAAAAGACAATTAGCATCAAGGTCTCTTGAGAACTATTTAGGTACTTAAAGGAAATAGTTCACTTTTAACATGGGGTTTGGAACTGGAATAGCAGTTTTGTTGCTTGCGCTGAGACTAGCACAAATCAGAAGCTTTTACGGCCCAACGATCACCCTAGACGAAGATATTCCATTTTTCGTTCCGAAAAGAGTGCCTTGCAGAGGAATGCGTGCCTTGCTGAGGAATGCAGTCACGTCATCGTCAGCCAATCAGAATGCTGCTTACAGCCGATGGGTTTGTCCTACGCAATATGATTGGTCAACGCGTAATAAGCTTCCGCGTCAAACATTATTTTATATAGAATATAGTTCTTCTTATACTAAAATATAGAAAATAATCCTTTTTACAAAAACGTTTTGTTTTATTTTCTGATCATTTTGAGCATAAAAAAACATAAATCCATAGTAAAATACTAATTTCAGGAAAGTGAACTATTTCCTTTTAATTTTATGTTATTATTTTTAAGTATTGCATGCTTAAACGCACTTTTTTACAGATTGATGGAAACGAATAACCTACTTTTGGCTTGTTCGCTATTGAGGCTCTGGCCGCCGGCTGCAGCTAAAAGTTCTCGATATACCGTGGGCACCGTGGGCACCAAGGCTATGTAAACGTGGGCACCAAGGCTATGTAAACCTGGTGCCCACGGTGTGCACCAAGTCCACCAAGTTATGTGGACAAATGCGAAGGCATGCGAAGGATGAGTGAATTATCTTGATTGGGGATACAACCGGAGGGGTGCTCACGGGCACCGCACACTGCTGCGTGCGGTGTGTGCGGTGCGTCCAGCAGGCGTGGGGGTAGGGGATGGGTAGGCGGTTCTGACGTCACGGCTGCGTGCGGTGGACGGTCCGCTGTGGCCAGTCCCGACCGGCCACAGCGATCGCTGTGTGCGGTGACGGAAGGCTGACGTAGGGACGAAGTGGGCGGAGCTTCGAGGCTGTGTGCGGTCCGACCGCACACAGGGCCCATGAACAGCCCTCGGGTGTTTCAAAGCCCGCTGCCAGCTGCTGCCAGCGCGCTGACGTCACACTTTGGGTTGTGTCGGTTCCAGTCGCACTTCCTAACACCTCTAAACTCCTCCAAGAGCAAGATAGAGGAGGTTGGAGCAGGGCCCTCCTTTGATTTGTAGGGGCTAGAGCTGACACTGGAACAGGGAAGCAATCTTGGAGGAGTTTAGAGATGTTAGGAAGTGCGACTGAAACAGACCCTTTGGTAGTGTTGGAGCAATGGGTGGGCTTGATGATGTCATCACGCGCTGGCAGCGGATGGCAGCGTGCTTTGAAACAGCGCCACGGTTTGTGATACGGAGGTAAGTATGGAGGTATATACTTCATAATCAGCGGCAATGGAACAGAGGTTTCTAGAGGTTTTTGCAACATTTTCTGGAGGTATTGGCATCACTCGACCTGGCAACACTGGCTCAGGTGCCGCGCGCCAGG